TCAGAAAGAGACAGAGAGAGAGAGAAGAGGGGAGGAGTAGATCTTGCGAGAACTTCCGGGCGGGTGAGAATAGCCACTTTCTTCCATATAATTAAAATAGCACACGATTTTTGCCCACGATTTTTGCCCTTTTTTGTTGGTATAATGTTGAGAGTGAATGAATTCAGAATTGTGATGGATGGTTGTTAAAAGGCAAGGGAGTGTATTCGGTCCCGGTAACCTGGAACAAAAGGTCATGAAGTATATCTAGTTTCGATCTAGATCTTCTAGCCTAGATCTAAATGAAGATTGCGGATGTCTTTTTGATGAACGGTCGTTTTATAAATTCTCCATTTTGGAGTTGGAGGAATCGATAATAATATTTGAAGAAAAGAACTTGATGTCATAATTTTCAATCGAGCTGTTACCCTCTCTATTTCTCTGTCTCTCTCCCCCTCCCCCCCTCTCTCTGTATATATGTCTCTCTCTCTCACTCTCTCTCTCTTTCTCTCTCTCACTCTTTCTCTCTCTCTCTCTCTCTCTCTCTCTCTCTCTCTCTCTCTCTCTCTCTCTCTCTCTCTCTCTCCTCTGTGTATTGCTCGCCTTCTCTTTCTCTTTGTTTTCTCTGTCTTTCGTTCTCTAACTATCCGCTTGTGTTGTTAAAACTGCTTTTAGATTTGGAAGAGGCTAGCCGTACTTAATGACGGCTAGACTGGCAGTCTAGCCGTACTTATTCTTAATAATATGATGGCTAGACTGACCATTTACCAAAAATAGGCCCACATTTTTAGTGTGCAGTACCTAAAGTATTTGTATTTGAGACGAAACCAGGTGCCTTAATGACAGTGCATGTATTTTAAACCTCCTGTTTTCTAATGTTAATAGGGCCTAACTAAGATAAGTACGGCTAGACTAAGTACGGCTAGACTTCTTGTCTAGCCGTACTTAAGTATGGGTAGACAGCCAGGCTAGCCGTACTTAAGGACGGCTAGACTGTCAGGCTAGCCGTACTTAATATTGATGGCTGAATTGTAAATGAAATTTTTAGTTTGCAATGCCTAAAGTATTTTTATTTTAGATAAAACCAAAAGGTGCCTTACTGACTTGCATGTATTTGAACCAGAATAATTACTAGATCTAGATCTAATTATGAGACCTGTGTACTTAACAGGCTTGAGTCTATAGGGCCAAACCTAGATCTAAGTACGGCTAGACTGGCAGTCTAGCCGTACTTAAGTACGGCTAGCCACTTCGTTTAGATTTTAGGAACTTGACTAGATTCTCTAGATCTAGATCTAGTGGGTTGGGTACAGCTCTGATCGTATTTTAGAAGGGTCTAGTGTCACATTTATTAAAAATGCCTTTCCTCAGATTCACTTATTACTGTTTGTGCGCAGGCAGGCGTAATAACTAACGTAGAGGCCTACTCTAGTAGAGTTTATATATGTTGTACAGGCATTACTTACTTACAGTGATGAATCTTGAGTCATGTTGGATGTGTACGGCCCTAGTGGACTGTTACTGATCAATGAAATGTGTAGTAGGCCTTAGGCCTAGTATAGTCAGTAGCCTTGCTTCAGTTGTCATGTGCATGCGTGATTTTTATGCTAAAGGCGGGAGGAGTTCCGCAGAGGGCTGGCACTTTCCGTGACAAGGTCCACTGAGCAAACTATACTACACAAGAGTTCAAGGGTTAAATGTTGTTGGTCGGCCGGCCTTCTATGGAACTCCTTCCCTAAAGACTTTACAATAGGACATTTATTGTGTAATGGGGGGAATTTGCATTACAAGAACAAGATCAAAGCTACTCTCTTTTTTATAACTGTGCATGCAGTTACTTTTTGGCTTTTGCGTTGTTAGCCTGGGTCTCTAGACCAGCAGTAAGCATGAGTCTCAGTGTCATCATTGCTACTTTTGCCGCTCCACTGTAGTCATCAGCAGCAGGACCTGAGTGCTGCAGCTTAAATCCCATTCCAAGTACTGACCTCTGGAGGACTTCCATAATAATATGAGCGAGCCCTAGTATGAGACTATGAGACAGTTTAGAATATAGAGGGGTAGGGGTAGGGTTTGTAAGGTCTTTTCTTTATTGTAGTGTTTGTTGGGGTGGTCGATCGTTACGGAAGTCACTTTGGTCCGGGGTTCGAAACTTGACATCAATGAAAAAATATTTTCTTCTCTAAAATTGTCTCTTTTCACCTCCTTCCATGTTTTTTAGTCATGTTCTGTCTTTCTGTTTTCATCTCCATCCCCCTTCCTCCCTATTCTGGGCTATTTTCCTTTCCCTAAAATCAATAATTTTAGGGTCTGGCGGCCACCCCGACAATTCAAAATTGGCACCAAAACTGAAAATATAATACTCTGGTCAGTATAAAATCATCATGAAGAGTACCTTTGAAATCAGAATGTGGCTGCCTAAAGGCAAGGGGCCCAACTACTTTGTCTAGTAACTTAGGAAAAACGGTAGGCCTCATACATCAAA